CACGGCCTTGGCGCGGGTCGAGGCCCGGCGGGAGGAGGATGGCGAGGGGCGGCCTCAGCGCTTGCCGCCTCACGCTCCCGGATGAGCCCGCAGCCCCAGATCAACCTTCTCCTGCATCCCCCTCATTAACACCTTCCGATTAACCTGCCGACAAGGAAGGGGACACTCACCCCGTGCTGGAAGAGGAGCGCTGGTTGCAAATGCCATATGGGCCGTGCACGGCCACCCCCGGGCCCGGGTGCCTGTCTCTCTGGAGGGAGGAGATAATGTGGTGATGAGACCAAGGGGGACGAATCCGCCAACACGGCTACCACCGTCACCATCGTTGCGGTGGTATGACTTTCTGGGATGGACAACAGCACCTACGGCATCTGTGCCCTTGCATCCCTCACCTCGGGGATGCAGCCCTGGATGGGGCGAGCAGTGAGACCCAAAACACACCTCCCCTTTTGGGAAATCTCTCCCCAGGGGATTTTTCCAGGCTCGTTTTCTGTGGATTTGATGGGGCCCCATTGATGTCTGAGCACAACCCTTTGCCTCCCTTAGCGGATGCACCCGACCGCCCTGGCGCACGAATCCAGGGCAACTAGTGATGCCATCGCATGCATCGCTCCTGGAAGGAGCAGGGGTGGCTCCTGTGCCCTCCCCGCGCCCCCATGGAGGGACCCGCGCCCCAGGCCCCGGTTGGGGAGCGGAGGTACCGGGCGGCCGATGCCCTTGGCGCCGGGCGCGCTGCAGCGTCCCAGGCTGCCGTTGGGGGTGGTGCCGCAGCTGCTGCTGATGATCTGGAGCTGCTTCTCGGCGCGGTCGGCGCGGTCCAGCAGCTCCTCGATGAAGTGCTGCAGTCGCACCTTGGCGTTGGCCTCACGCGCCGCCGTCTCCTTCAGGAACTGGTCGATCTGCATCACCTCCCTGCACAGAGGCACCAGCGGCAGGGATGGGGCTGAGGCTCGCCTGTCCTCCCCACGATGTCCAGGTCCTCCTGCAACCCGTGGGTGCAGGGTCCCACACATCCTCGCCTCCCTCCCTACCCCTTGAAGCCTGCTCTGCATCTATCCCTGGGGAATTCGGTCCAGCCGATGGCACAGAAGAAAGGTGGCAAGGAAGATGATGGAGAGAGGGAAGATGGAGAGGAGGGATAAGGACATGGAGGGAAGACGGAGAGGAGGTTTGAGGAGGAGGTGGACAATGTGGGAAGGCAGTACAAAGGTGTCAATGGCACGGCCTGCCCCATTCAGGAAGGCCAGATTCAGGCAGACCAACATTAAGGGCAGCTTTAAACACCTAAATCACACTGAGCTCCTGCTTTCCCTAGGGAAGTGCCCAGCACCTGCAGAGCCTTGTGGCGAGACCTCCTCATCCCTGTGCCCTCAGCACGAGCAGCCAGTGTGCAGGAAGGAGGCCCATCTCCCTCGTTAAAGTGCTGATTAGAGGGAACAGAGGTGACCTCACATTTCTGTTTAGCAGCCCAAGCTCCTGCAGCCCCATGAAGATGTTTCATGTGTGCCTGGGTGTGCTCAGTTGGCCACCTGCGTGTGCTGAGCCACAGCCAGGAGGAACGTGAGGGTGAGGGAGCAGCTCTCTTCAATGCGATTACTCTTAATGACTGCTAATTATGCACTGTAGCAAAGGCTGATGCTATTGAACACAAGGCCTCCTTCACGTGGACGCCAAGCTAAGGAGCATCTCGGAAGAGCCGGGGATGAGGTTTTCATGGAGGTCCAACAAGGTACTCCAGCCAAACCCATGTCCCTGACCCACAGATACGTGGCATAGCCAGAGAGAAGAAGAAAATGAGTCAAAACCAGCCCTGGCAGAGAGATGCAAAGCAAGAGGGGAGCGGATGGGAAGTCAGGAGGCTCTAAGGGTTGTCTCCGCTCCGGCAACAGCAAAACACTCGGAGGCACTTGGAGCTACTAACGCGTGAGTGATGCTGGAGCCAAGCATGCAAATCCAGCCGTGACCTTTCATGCAGCCGCCCCGAGGAAATGCCAGGGCAATGTGATGCTGGATCCCTGCCGGCTCCCGAACATTTCCAGGAAAAATGGGGGAGCTCCCTGGCGATCATTTGGGAAGGCTCATAGTGAAGAGCCTGGGAGATTTGGAAGGCAAATGGGGCACCCAGGCAGCGGGTGTAAAGTGATCCTGATGCTTATCGCCTCCTGCAGCTCCTCTCATTCCTAGGCACCTGATGGAAAAAATACCCACGGCAAAACCAGTTGTGCCTGCAAGCAAAAAGGGCTCCCAACACCTACGATGTAGCTCCAAGGCTGGATGTTGGACCTATGGCCTCGAAAATAAATGTCACTGGGTGACTCCATGCTCTTGGGCGTTATTGCAGGCGTTGGGAGCACGGTGGATGCAATGTATTTAGATACGAGCTAAAGCATTTACGTGTCGTGGCTCGTGAAACCTTCCTCGAAGAATTTATTCAAGCCAACAGGGATCTGAACACTCGCATGGATGGAGAATTGGCTGGAAGACCATAAACAAGGAAGGATAATAAATGGCAGCGCAGCAAATTGCAAGGCAGGCGGCAGCTCTCGGTGTTGGCGAGAGCTTGAGTGCTGTGGGAAGGGGGGCATCGCCTGCATGGTGGCCACGGAAGCCTGCTGGGATCGGGGCTCTCCAGACCCACAGGAGGGGCTGGAGACGTGTGGCCACAGCGGGCAGAGATGGGCCCAGGGATCACCTCATAAATCATCACCATCAGAGGAGACCTTGGGCAGGGAAGGGATGCAGGGGCGGCAAGTTGGATGCTCATCCCCATCTGCTTCCCAGCCTTTCTGAGAAAGCAGGGCTGGAAAATGTCCCTGGTAATCTCGTTTCGTTCTTGGGGGAAGGGTGAACACAGCTTTTCCAATGAAAACGATTCACAGTGATTTCCCCACGGCCGAGGGAAATCGTCTCGTTTCATGAGCTTCTTTCCATGTCTTGCTCTGGCAGATGCCAAGTCATTTAATTCCTAGCAACCCCCACCCAAAGCATTTCAGATCAGAAAAAATTCTGATACTTTCAGCTTTTTTATGAAACCTTTGAGAAGGCTGTGGCTGATTTAGTGCTTTGTTTGCTTTTTCTTTGCTTTTTTCTTTTCTTTTTTTTTTTTTTTTTGGTAGCTGCTTCTTGCCCAGGGAGTGCAGTGTGTCCCGCGTCTGCCTTGCAGCCCATCATTGCAGAGGGACTCCCACCATGTCCCTGTCTGCTGCTCCCTCCTGGACCCTCTCTGGCCTCAACTAGAGGAGATTGGAGAGCCGCACGAATGGTTCAAGGGCTGGAGGGTTTCTCTAAGGAAAGGTGGATCCAGGAGGCAGTTTTGGGACATACATCCAGGGCACCTTAGGTTGTAGTGGACTAGTCCAGGACCTCCCATGGACTGATCAAGCAATATTTGACCGTCACCCTCTACCAGTCCTGCCAAGACTGTTTCACACCCCGGTTGCTCTTGTGTTCATGCCCTTTTTAATTTCCAGACTGAGTTTTATTCATGGCCAACTTGCCACTGCTCCTCCTGGTGCCAGCACTGCCCTTTAGCTGACATTGTCTGTCCCTGTCCCCAGCATTGCTGCAGGCTTTGGTTGCCTCCCTGCGTTGGGCTGGCTCCCCCAGCCAATATCTCCTCATATTCTGGGCGCACCGACCCCGCCATCCACCCCAGCAGGTCTCTGCTCCCTGCACATCCTCAAAGTGAGCCCAGTGTAGACGAGCATGGACAAAGGTGCCACTGTCTCTCTGGGCACCAGTGCTGCATTTGGCCACCCCGTTGTCCTACAACCAAGCACCTCCGAGACGCCACCTGCTCTGGTGTCCCCACAAAACAGCTGACAGCAACACGGAAATCTCCCCTTTGGTACATCATGGTCCTACTTTCTCTTATTCAGCACTCTCTGAACCAAATCTTATTCCCTTTATGCCAATCTGAACCATCATCCCGCTCTTTTGCCTAAGGACCTCAGCCTTTGAGTTGTCAGCAAATGTCATGAAAATGTGTCTTGTTTCCAAGACAAAGTCATTAGTTTTCGAGCCAAAGCCCCTAGCAGAAGATGCTAGGGATCAAGGCTAACCCTTGAGGAAGCCCACCACTACTCTTGGTCCAGTACAACTGTTACAGTCCCCCTTTAACCTCCTCAGACTTTATGATGCTCCCCCATGATGAGCTTCAACTTTGCTAAGAAACTCCCAAGAACCAAGGTCTCGCAGCACTGACGGGCAAAATAACCCAGCATTTGACTGGGAGGGAACTCTGGGCAGTAGTAAGGTGTGAAGAGAGGCTTTGGCTGGGGGTGATGGGATGAAAAAGGTGGTGGCTATGGCACAGGCCTAATAGCAGACGGAGGTTACAGTGCATGGAATACGTCATCCCTGTTCTGGGAATTGTGCATGGCCAGCGTGGCCCCTCTCATGGTTATGACAAGTGGATGGGATTGCTCTTGTTGAATAGAGCCAGGCCTCTCAGCTATACAGCCAAAGGGGATGATGCAGCTCTCATTTTGGGGGACACCCTTTGCTGCTAGAGACAGGTGGGAGCAACACGGCCATTGTGGCATTCCCTAGGGGGGCAGTGAGATGGTGATGGGTTCCCCCAGTTTGGCCATGGCCTGGGGGCACTGGTAGCTGCGGGGCAAAGTTTCCTGGACATGGAGGAAGCTCGGGTCTATGTGGACATCTGCCCATGGGGTTTCTTGTGGGAGAGAACATGCAAAAACTTCCCAGTATAGTAAAATCCGACCTGGTGATTCTAGGGGATTGCACCCCAGCAGTTGGTCCAAAGGTTTGCTGGCAAAACGGGGTCCACCACGAGCATGCAAGGCCCTAAGAGGACGATTTCCACCCACTCTGCAGCAAGAAGAGAAGGGAATGGACTCACTGTTGCTTGCGTGCCAGCTCCTGCTCCTTCTGCACCAGGTCCTGCTTGAGGGAGGCCAGCATCTCCACACTCACATCCACCTGGCGGGACAGCTCGGATGCCCGGTCCTCCAGCTCCTGCTTCTCCCGGCTGAGCCGCAGGCTCTCCTGCTTGGCCTTTTCCAGCTCTGAGCTCTTCCTGTCCAGCTCCACCTGGAGCCGGCCAACCTGCGAGGCGATCTTCTGCTCCACCTCCTCGGTGAGCTTCTCCAGCCGCTTGTCCACCTCCAGCTTCTCCAAGGCGCGGATCTTGAGGCGGGCCAGGCCCTCCTCGTAGGCCGCGTCCATAGTGGCCGGCGGCGTGGGGGCCGGCGCCGCCGCGTCCATAGGGGCCGGCGGCGTGGGGGCCGGCGCCACGGCTTTGCCGCGGCTGAAGATCTCCGTCAGCGGGATCTCGATCTCGTGGACATAGCGGGGCGAGGGCGAGGAGGACGGCGCCGGCTCGAGCTCCTCAGCGGGCACGAGGTCGCAGGAGAAGCGCTGCTCCTTGCCCTGGAAGGAGGTGCTCTCGAAGTAGTCCCGCCGGGCGGCCGGTGTCAGCAGCGACGCGTCGGCGGCCAAGGGGAAGACGGCGGCATCGCAGATGCTGTTGGTCTTGGAGAGCACGTAGAGGGTCTCGTAGGTGTGGTTGTACTCCAGGTGCGCCCGCAGCGACGACAGGCTCCGGAAGCGCTTGTGCTCGCCGCACCGCGGGCACCGGTAGGGCAGGTCCAGCGAGGCCATTCCTCAGCGACGCGCCGCGGCGGCGGGGAACGTC